ACGCAACTAACCTGATGTATGAGACTTTTGGAATGATAGAAGTCAGTCATGGTGAATTCAATTCCATTGTCAGATCTTATAGCATTTTCCCTGCACATGCCCGAGCATGCCACAGTAGCTACATTTAGGTCTTTCCCTTCTGAAACCTTGACTTCCAAAAGTAGATCTGTAATTACTTCCAGAAGGAGCAGTCATCAGTTTACTAACAAACGCAGATACATCATCATTAATTTGATTCTTTGATGCCACATCTTGTTGCTTTTCATCTTGTTGAACAATTGCAAATACTTTGTTCAATGAAGGCAAAGGCTCCATCATTAAAATTTGACTTCGCACATTAGAATAACAGTAATCCAATCCCATCAAGAATTGTAAGATTTGTTCCTCTTCATAGTATGAGTTGTGGATCTGAGGCCTATAGTTCGATAGTTCTTCCCACAATCCTTTCAATTTGTTGAAATACACACTGACTGGTCCATTTCTTTGTGAGATCGAGACAATCAACTTTTTCAATTGATAGATTCTAGGTTCGTTTCCTTGGCTGTATCTATCTTTTATCTTCCGCCAGATTTGTCTTGCCGAATCCTTGTGCATAACACTAGGATATAGCTCCTTGGGGATCGAATTAATGATCCAAAAAGAAACAATATGATTGCATCTACGCCTGGCAGAAAATAGAGGTGAATCCTTCGAAGGCATAGGTATAGTACCATCTATAAATCCTTCCTTATTCTTTACACTCAACACCATTTCCACCGCATGACTCCACGTCGAGTTATTTTCATCGGAGAGAGTAACAGATACAATGTGCATACTTGTATTGTCTCTATAGTGCAGATAATAGGGATTTGAGGGATTTGCGATTATTCGCTGAGCTTCCGCAATTAGTTCCTCCTTTTCATTCTCTGAATTGGTCGCCATGAATGGAAGCTAAGATTGCTCTGATACCATGTAGACTTTGATACCTAATTGCGGAGATGATGCTCAGCAGATTTGGAAGGAAAGAGGTTCACGTGAAAGTGAATTTTCTCATTACAGTGGAAGTGAATTTACAAGAGTATATATACACAAATATTTACAAGCTAATTGCCAGTTGTATGGTGACAGCTCAGCAACCCTCAACAACTTTGAACTAACTCCTAACGGAAATAAAGCTAAGTAAGCAAACATGTTGGCTTCAGCTGTAATGCACCACAAGAGTCTGAATGTGGCCTTAAGAATTGCAGCTACAACTACAACATGAAGGTAAGACATGGATGTTCCAAATTCAATGGTGTATGACACGGCAATGATCTTGAGCCACTTTTAAGAGAGAAGAAGCTTCCCTCAATACCCAAGGCTTGTTCCAAAAATTTTGGTTTTGCTCAAGATTAGGTAGACTGAGATTGATTAACTCGGAATTTCGATCATTAGAATTGATGCTGATGAAGAGGGAATGAGGGTTCCAGTCTGAATATAGAGAAATAAATGTTTTTAGAGAAAACGTGTCTTAAATTTTTATGGGATTTTAGAAATTTTGGTCCAATTGGCCTGATTTAAAGTCTGTTATGTGCCACGTCGAATGTTCGTCCGCCACGTGGCATATTTCGTTAGTTGAAGTTGACAAATATTAATGTCACCACCTTTTGATCATTGGATTCATTTTTTGGTATTTTCACCATTATTTTCACTTTTCATTGCGCAAAAGGTCATTTTTATCTATTTTCTCAATTAAAAATTATGAAATGATGAATATATCCCCCTCTTTAAATAAAACAAAAAGAAAAAGAAAAAAAATTAATTGCAATCATAGCCCCAGATTTTTTAAAAAAGCAAAAATAAGTTACAAATAAATTATTAAAAGGATAATTAGTACATAATATCCCTATCTTTCACAGTTATTGCGAAAAACATCCATACTTTCATTTTTTTTTTTTTGTATTTTCACCATTAATTACACATTTGATATTGCAAACCATCATTTCTATCCATTTTCTTCCAATTTCTCAATAAAACCTATGAAATGATAAATATACCCTCCTATTTAAATAAAAAGCTAAAGAATTAATTGCAATCATAGTCCCAATTTTTTTAAAAAATGCAAATAAGTTACCAATAAATTATTTGAAAAATCATTTTTTTAAAAAAAGTGCAAATGATCCAAATTAAATTTATTTAAAAATTTAAAAAAAAAAAAAAA